GAGCCTCCGAGGCCCGGGGGACGCCGGCAGGGGCGGGGTCCGCGAGACCCGAGCGCCCCGGGCGCGGCGACCGAGGGGAGGCTTCGGCTGCGGCCCCTGCTTTTCAGGATTTCTTCGGTCCCCCGGGCGGAAATAGGCGAAAAAATGAGGCCCATTCGCTTGGGCGGTTACTTATTAAACATTTACTTTTGCTAATCCCTGGAAACGGTGCCAGCCAAGCTTTGAACAGAAACATAATTGAGAAGAGCAAGCTTAGATAGTGAGGTTTCGTTTAGGGAGCTTTGTTTGAATTTTCTTTTACTCCAGGAATCCAGAAAAGTTGTCTCAGAAGTCCGATTTCCGACGTGTAAAACGAACCACCACTTTCTGGGGAAGTCTTCGCCATGAATAATTTCTTTGGTGTGAGGATTAAAAGGAACACACTAACCACTTTTCCATGAAGTAAAAGGAAAATATACATTGTAATTTATTTTATTTTGCCAGCTGGTCGTCATTTTGAACAAGAAATTGCAAAGACTTCCACCTCCAGACCCAGTTTTTAAATTTTTAAAGAACCTTGGGAAAGTTTGTCTCACGCCCCTGAGCACCTTCTTCCTTGACTGATCACTTTCGAAAGTCAGCTTTTCCCACAAGTCAGTGGCCTTCCTGGGACTGCAGTCTGAGAGCAGCAAAGAACCCTGGACAGAGATCATCCACTTGGGACAGATGAGTAACTGAGCCAGAACATTCCAGCAACTTGCTCCAGGGCCCCTCCCAGTTAGGTGTGAACCACACTGTAGTCTCTGGGACCAGGGTTGAGGTACAGACCCAGTCAGACTACCCAGAAAAAGCTGTTTTTATAATTTGGAAAACTGTTAAATTACTCTTTAATAAACACCATTTAAAGATCTTTGTAGTAAGTATTTGTCATCTTCCCAAGCAATGCCCGTTAACTTACCTTCTCACACGATATATTCCAAAATGTTTGTGAACTGAAAAGAACAAAAATGGAACTATATTTGCATGTCCTAAAGGGAGTGGGGTAGTTTTCTAAAAGTTCCCATATTATAGCACCCCTAATCACACCTCACTTTTTAGGCACAAATCTTCAACAAAACATGCTGTTCTTTTTCTTCCCGACTGACCACAGAGTTAACCAGATTAAATACACTGAGATAAAAGCTTGCCACTGTTAGCACACTCAGTAATTCCCATCACTGTCTCAGTTTCCAATCCTTTTTAATAAATGGGGATGTGATAAAGTTCAAATTCAAATGCTCACACAAACACTGATGTACAGACAAGAACGGTGTTTCTTCTGAAAATTGAATCAATGGCCGCGAGTCAGTATCAGCACCAATCACCCATAATATCCATTGGTTGGAGGGGAGAAAAGCCATTTGGGGTGTTAGTGAATAATGCACATAATTTAATGTAGGGTGTTTTGTTGCCTCTATGCATCTCATTGGTTCAGCAAATAATTATAACCTACTGTATGGGAGGACCAATGTTGGACTTTGGAAAACACGAAGATGAATGAGGCATAGTCATTGCTCTGAAAAATATAGTAAACCTTCAATTAAATTCAGGGATTCCTTTATTCTAATAATGTGTAATGAGAAGGTCATGCAATTGCACAGGAGAATTCTTAAAAACAAGACAAATCTATGAACCACATTCCACTGATGACAAAGCTCTACCTAACTCACATTGGGTAGTCAGGAGCCCGGCTACACATAGATCCAAACACCACCCAGACTCACAGAGAGCTGTTCGATCTATTTATGAAACAGGAGAAGAGGTGAAAAGTACAACCCACCAATTACGCACCTCTGGCTACCATTACTTGGTAGCCTATCCTATAGCTTCCTGAGCTCCTTTAGGTATTCCCAGGTAGGTGAACGGCTTCCAGCCAACCAAACATGCCAGGTTTGGGAAGACAATGACTTCCATATATCTTTCTCTAAGGATGATAAAGGAAGATAAAAGGATGAAATAAAAGATTGACATGATAAATGGAATCCAGACATATACACATTAGTTGTCTAAATTGGCTCACCTCATAGAAGGTCCCATGGTGAAGGTTAGGGATTAGAAGACTAGAGTTCTGATCTTAGTGCTACAATTTACTTGGGCAAGAGATCAATTTCTTCACATGCAGAATGGAAATAATAATCTTGCCCTGCCTATTTTATACTATGTGAACATTCTTGAAAACAGGAACATTATATAAAGCTAAGGTATCACCCATGAAACCAAAAGCTCTGTGCTAGATGGAAATTTTAGGCTTTAGTGTCTTTGTCTTTAATCCCCCATGAATCAATAAAACTCCCTTTTGCAGACATTTAACCTTCATTCACTTAAAAAGCAGTTATTAAACATCCACTATGCGGGACCCCTGGATGGCTCAGTCAGTTAAGCATCTGCCTTCAGCTCAGGTCATGATCCCAGGGTCCTCGGATTGAGTCCTGCATCGGGCTCCTTGCTCATCGGGGAGCCTGCTTCTCCCTCTGCCTGCTACTCTCCCTGCTTGTGTTCTCTCTCTCTCTCTGACAAATAAATAAATAAAATCCTTTAAGAAAATTAAAAAATAAACATCCACTATGAGCCTCACCATAGGCTCAGCGCTGATCACACGAAGATGAATAAGGCAGGGCTCCCTTTCTGCAGGATATCAAGCCTGTGATAGGAAAACAAATCATTCCAATACGTTCGATACCTTATTAAAAAGGCATGTTTATAGAATCTTGGGAGCACAGAAGAAGGGTTTAGCTTATTTCTTATAACCAGGTTTAAAAAGTGCCCCATCCAAAATCTGGCAAAGTCCTCACTAGCTGACCTAACTAAGGTCAGCTATTTTTTTCCCTGCCACTTGTAGATATGTCCGTTTGTACTGTTAGAGACAGATAACTGACATGTAACTTTCTCTCTGGCCGACCTTGGAGATGACCTTGTGGTTAGGTAAGAGGCATCAGTCAGATCCTGAGCATATTTTTAAAACTAAACAGAGCACCTTGATTTCAATGAGATTAGGAGGGATCATTTACTTGCTTAAAATCCCATGGGAACCCTCTCATATCTCTTTGTTGGTGAAATGATATCCCTTGGGCACAGAAAAGATTTACAGCCCGTGAATTAAAATAGCTGTTCCGCCTGCCAGGGGAGCAGTATTTTAACAAATCAGAACTACTAAGCTAGGATTGGAACTATAACGTGAGGTAAAGAAAATGCCTCTTAAAATAGCAGATAATTTAATTTTGGGTTTAATCTTTGCTTTTTCTTTCTTGTGAGTAAATTACAATCCTCCAGAAATCATTAAATCTGGGTTCTCAGTATCCCTAAAATAAGATTGATCTCTTAAAGTTGAAACTACTCATTGAAGAAAGCAATTTGATAAACCACATAAATTTCATTTCAAAAATAGGAAAATGTTGGCAACACATATACATATATATATATACAATAAATAGCTTTATTATCCTTTGTTCAAATGTCCTTCAGGAACCAGAGAATTTTTCTGTTTGTAGTGGTTTTTCGTTTTTACCAGGGGAAGGGGGTTAACTTTTAAAAACATTAAAAAGCTGAGAGAAACTTCTCAAATACGTTTTCTGTCACTTGTAGTGAGAAGATTTGTTGTGGTTGCCAATTGTTTTGGTTTTCGCACAGGTCATATCTAATAAATGGTGCCATCCTTTAGGTTTTAAGAGTCTGGGTTTTTTTTACTGCCTTTAATTGGGTAGCATAGATATTGGGGATCCATCCATGCTTTCCTGCCTGATCCTCTTTTGCATTAAGAGCCCGAGTTGCAAGGTTGAGGGGCTGGACGTTAAGGGCATGGATGATGGGGAGCACAGCTTTGGACCACCTAGGGGCCACCCACACCCTTGGCCAAATGACTTCTAACCTGCCACGCTAAACAATAACTCACACTAATTTTTAGTGGGTAAGGCACACAGTCAATAACCATAATACAGGTGCCAAGTAAGTTAGCCTTTTAAATACGCCCTTCAAAATAATTTTTTAAGCTCATCATGATTGTGAGGAACTGTCAGTCTGTCACATTGGGACAGGAACACTTACTCCAACTTCTATAAATATAAAGTCAAGATGCAGATGATTGCTGGTAAACCCAGTTATCCTCAAACGCCACATGGATATATAATGTGCTAATAGCCACGTGAGGAAAATTATGAATAGCTACTTAGCCTTTACTGAAGGAATTCAAAATTGATGTTCCATAGAGAATTTCAGAAACAAATGCTGCCTTAAAGAACTGTTATACCAGCTGTTCTCAAAACTTTTAGAGCCTTGGAACTCTTTTTACAAAGGAAGCTCTGTGAGAACAGCCAATAGCCAGAACAGATCGTGAGAGCGCTAGACTGGCCATAGCTTGATGGGAGCCCACTGTCCTCCCACAGCACCTGCCCTGTGTCTTCTGGTGCTGTAGCCCGAGAAAGATTTCCCCAACTAAAATGCCATATAAGCCAAAACCCACATTTTATTTTTTTTAAGATTTTCTATTCATTTATTTGAAAGAGAGAGCG